CAAGTCATTCCACAGATTTTGAATGGGGTTTAAGTCTGGACTCTGACTAGGCCATGCAAGAACATTCGCCTTTTCTCCTTCAACCACTGTGTGCTCACTTTTTGCTGTGTGCTTTGGGTCATTGACGTGTTGGAAGGTAAACCTTCTTCCTATTTACAACTTTCTAGCAGAGGGCAGCAGATTTTTCTCTTTAATTTGATGATATTTTGCCCCATTCATTTTCCTTATATCCTGACAAGTGCTCCAGTCCCTGCTGCAGAGAAACACCCCCATAACAGGATATTACCACCTCCATGACTTACTGTAGGAATGGTATTATTTGGATGGTGACCTGTATTGGATTTCCACCAGAAATATCATTTAGTGTTGAGGCCAAATAACTACATTTTAGTCTCATCTGACCATAACACCTTTTCTCATGTGGCCTCAGAATCATCAGGGTGCATTTTGGCAGAGCATAGTCATGACTGCATGTGGCCTTTCTTGAGGAGTGGCTTTTTTTTTGCAACCCTCCAATACAAGCCACATTTGTGGAGAATATTGTTGTCACATGCACAAAATGACCACTCTGTTATAAAATCCTGCAACTGCTTCAGAGTTGCTCTAGGCTTCTTGGTAGCCTCTCTGACCAGTTTCCTCCCAGCTCTTTCATCCAGTTTGGAGCGACGTCCTGATCCAGGAAGGGTCTAGAGTCCATGTTGTACCAAATTCCCTCCATTTCCAAATAATAAACTTCACTGTGCTTCTAGGCATAGATAAAGCCTTTGAATGTTTTTGTATCCATCTCCTGATTTGTGCCTGTACACAACGTTATCCTGGAGATCTTTTGACAGTGCCTTGCCACCCATAGTTCATTGTTTGAGTTACACTACTAAGGACTGAAATGCTCCAGAAAAGCTCTTTTCATGCCAAGCTAATCAAAATGACCACAGCTGGTAGTCAAATGGTTTTGTGTGCCATTGAGAAGGTGATTAGCTACACCTGATTGAGTTTAGGAGAGAGAGTAATCATTTTTCCAACTCAGTGGTTTTGTTTTTGAGTAAATACAGCTGCATAAAACAAAAACTGTTTCTGTCCTAATTTCAGGCTGCAAGGCAACAACATGTGGTTATTTTAAAGGGGGGTTGGTTCTTTTCTATACCCACTGTACAATTGTCCCTTTTGGGACCCTACCCCTTCACTATGGGATCGCATCACCACACTACCAGGCTTATTGTTTTTAACTCTCATCTGTAGGCTTGCAACTGCTAACCTCTCTAGCAATTTCCAGGTGTACTTTTTCTCCTGATGAAGAGTGATACTCAAAAATGCTTTGGCCATGCTCTTCAACAAAACTGTTACACTTCAACTTATGAGAGTTGTATATGGGGTTCCGTTTCCCTACGGTTTAATCCTACAGTGTATGTTTCAAGAATTGATTTTACCTTCTGTTCTAAAGATGTAATAAACTGTTTTTTTTATATATTCTGTTTTTGTATTATATTTGGTGCTGGGAAAGTACCATACACCCCTGATACAATATGTTGGATAGACTATTTCTGGGATGTTGGCACCTAAGTAGCCTCCAATTACACCAGTTATCTTCCTCACTGCATATCATGTTTGACCAATGCATTAGCTCCTAGCATTAAAGAAGTATAGCCAAAGCTTTTTGGATCACAGGAGTGTAGTTCATTCAGCCTGCTGACATCGGAGGGCTGGTTCAAGCTCTGAAAAGATCCCAACCATACAGTCTGGATCCACCCAGATGCCTGGACAGATTCAGCATTGGATCCATGCTGCATCCACCTAGGTATGTTTTTTTTTCTGCATAACCTGTACTTCTCTTCTAATGCCTCTTATCAGTGCATAAACTAGAGTTTCACTACTCTGACATCAAAATACCATTGTAAAACATCCAGGCTCTGAAAAGATCCCGAAAATACAGTCAGGATCCACCCAGATGCCTGGACTGACACCTGGCTCAGTCTCCCAGCTGATCCTGGCCCAATCCCACACACAGCCCGGCGCTCCAGTGATCGTTGGAAGAGCAGAACAGAGAGCCGGAGACTGACAGTTAAGGCTCTCTGCTCAGAGCGGAAGGGGACACCTGAGTGATCAGTGGTCTTTGATCGCTCAGTTCTCAGTGCAGAGCCATCGGATCCACACTGCATCCACCTAGGTATGTTTTTTTTTTTTCATAACCTATACTTCTCTTTTAATGCCTTTTATCAGTGCATAAACTAGAGTTTCACTACTCTGACATTAAAATACCATTGTAAAAAAGATGCATACATAAAAAAAAACATATATAATGCATTATGTGTTTCAAAAAATAAGTCTAATCATGTTGATTATAGTGTGTTTACTTGTGAGCCACCAGGGTATACTAACAGAGGAGCATATATATTTTTCTAGATCGCTGGTTATTTTGCACACTCTCTACTGGTATGCATTTGATATCAATTAATTCAATAATTACCGCGCTCTAATACTAATTAAAAAAGTGCTCAGTGCTTGAAAAATAATATAAATAAATCAACAATTGATGATACCTTTAAAAAATTGTAAATACTCCTATATATGTGCCAATTAATAAATCAAATAATAATTCATGATAAAAATAATATATAAAGTATTATTTGGCACATATATAGGAGTATTTACAATATTTTAAAGGTATCATCAATTGTTGATTTATTTTATATTATTATTCAAGCACTGAGCACTTTTTAAATTAGTATTAGAGCGCGGTAATTATTGAATTAATTCTAATCATGTTGAGCCATAACTTAAACTGGGTTGGGAACCAACACCTATAGGGAGTTCTTTGGTGTTGTAGCTTTTCTAAGAATGCAGATTTATGGTATCAATAGTGTGGCTTTGAACACAAAAGCATTTGGACAAAAAAGACATTTCTCATTATGTTTGATTATTGCTCTGTAACCTGTGGCTCTCAGATATTCTGTACTGCTAGTCCATATTTCTACAGCATAACAGCCTGGCTTGGTCAGTCTCTCTGTACAGTGGGTGGGTGGATTTATCTCTGTTAGATCTGGCTAAACTTCAGTAGCAGATGTGCCACATTTTCTCTTTTTAATTAAGTCACTTGCACATATTTAAACATTTACTGTACATAGACTACATTATTAATAACAGAAATTACCATGTTTCTATGTGTTCATTATTCTATAAGGAAAAAACCCTAATCAGGTTAAATCCACCATACCTGTACAAATACAAGGCTTTTCTCTTTACTATTTTATGAAGTATTTCCTCATTTTATTATACTTTAACAAGATGTATGAGGCAATAACTTGGTTTGTGCTGATAACATCCACACTAATCTGATTTCTGAATAAGCACATGTAATAGTTCACAGCCACCAATTACTCATATTCTCCTTTCAGCATAAGTATCTTTTGAGTATTAATAAAAGCATTATTTGACCAAAACAATTAACGTTGTGTGCTAATGGCTGTAACTAGGTGACACCACAATGGATGAGCCATGTCAGATTTCTTGTGTCACTTTAAAGCAAGCCATAGAGGATGTGATTTTCTTTCCTACAACCACAGGTTGCTGGAAAGAAAATTGCTCGATACTCCCATCAACACAGTTAGTGTTGATGGGGAAGTCCCTGCCCCAGTGCTATTGTGTTCTGCCAGTGGGGAGCCAACAGAACACAATAAATTACTGCACGAGGCTATAGGCGCCGGCAGTAATCAAGTGCAAAAAATCCAACAGGCTGGTTGTAGTGAACTTAATCGATGGCTCGACTTCAGTACAACCAGCCTGCCCATAGATTGATCAAATTTTGCCCGATACCTGCTTAACTGGCTTTACTTCCTTTTGTATGTTGAAAGCCATATCTTGTTATGCCTTCTCTGGGGTTAGCTTATTGTCTTTGGATATAATCTCATTGTATTTATGGGTCCCATGATGTGATGGCTAGCATCTAAGCCTATGTCATATTCCTATGATGATGTGCATGGATAATATCTCTCCTTCAAGGCTGTAGTGTTTGAAAAATAAACGTAGAATTAAAAGGCAAAAATATTTTTTTTTCATTTTGGATAGAGTAAGGGAGGGTTATAAACAGTGTCTGTGTTTTTCCCATCCCATTGGGAAGATTTTCCTTCACTTCATGTTCCATAGCCAAAACAGGAAGTAGGAAAAAATCTTGTCAAAGTGAGGAAATCCCTGTTTGTCACCAGATCTAGTGTTCTCTATTACTTCCCTGAGGAAAACCTAAAAGGGATTTTCTTTTACTTCCACTTCCAATGATAATGGTAAACAGGACAAATAGAGGGTGAATCTCTCTAATGGGGGCACAGACAGCAATAAAAACCTGACAGGTATTCTAATCCCTCCTCACTGTATACAAAACTAAAAAAAAAAAAGTTTTGCCTTTAGCTATACTTTACACTTGCAGCTACCTAAAGCATCACAGAAGGTACTGATTTAAAGCATATTTACCAGTATATGTATAGATGTATTACTTTATACATGTTTAATTATGATGTCTTTAGTATCAGTGGTTACATCCTCAGATCTAGAAATTCATTGCTGTATAACGTATTGACTAGACTACTTAATTATGATTCAATGGTAAAGTGGGGGGTCTAGTGGAACATAAATGGCATGACAGTACATCAGTTTCTCCAATGTCTCAGTGACATTAATAAACCCTTTCTGTCTCCAAATTTTTCCATATTACTATGCTCTGTACAGGGCAGATACTTTCAATCTTGGATTCCAGTTATCTACATTATGAACATCCACCTCATTGGCTGTCTAAGAGATAACTGGAACACAAAACCATACGTTGAAATAATATTATCATAAGGTTCCCCCCCCCCCCCCAAAAAATGGACACAGGGTAATAAATCTACCCAAAACCAAATGAATAAAATACTGGACATACATTATATTGCCAAAGGTATTGGGCCAGCCCTCCAAATCATTGGATTCAGGTGTTCCAATCACCTCCATGGCCACAGGTGTATAAAATCAAGCACCTAGGCATGCAGACTGCTTCTACAAACATTTGTGAAAGAATGGGTTGCTCTCAGGAGCTCAGTGAATTCAAGTGTGGTACCGTGATAGGTTTCCACCTGTGCAATAAGTCCATCCGTGAAATTTCCTTGCTACTAAATATTTCACAGTCAACTATTAGTGGTATTATAACAAAGTGGAAAGCAACTGGGAACAAAAGCAACTCAAAGTGGTAGGCCACGTAAAATGACAGAGCGGGGTCAGCCAACTGTCTGCAGAGTCAATAGCTAAAGACCTCCAAACTTTGTGTGGCCTTCAGATTAAGCACAACCATGCATAGAGATCTTCATAGAATGGGTTTCCAAGGCCGAGCAGCTGCATCCAAGCCTTACATCACCAAGTGCAAAGAAAAGCGATGGATGTAGTGGTGTAAAGCATGCTGCCATTGGACTCTAGACAGATGAATCATGCTTCTCTGGCAATCCAATTGATGTGTCTGGGTTTGGCGGTTGCCAGAATGGTACTTGCCTGACTGCAAAGTGCTAAGTCTAAAGTTTGGTGGAGGTGGGATTATGGTGTGGGGTTGTCTTTCAGGGGTTGGCTTGGCCCCTTAGTTCCAGTGAAGGGAACACTTAAGGCATCAGCAGCAGAGGTGGTTGTTAATCTGTTTCAGCTGCTTTGGTGTTAATGAAATTAACAACAGATGCACTAGATGGGCAACAATGAGAAAACCCCCTAAACAGGAATGGTTTTACAGGTGGGGGCCACTGACATTTTTTTTCCTACTCATCTTTTCTGGTTTTCACTAGTTTTGCATTTGGCTAGGGTCAGTGTCACTACTAGTAGCATGAGGCGATACCTGGACCCTACAGAGGTTGCACAGGCAGTTCAACTCCTTCAGGATGGCACATATATATGTGCTGTTTCCAGAAGGTTTACTGTGTCTCCCAGCACAGTCTCAAGAGCATGGAAGAGATTCCAGGAGACAGTTACTCTAGGAGAGCTGGACATGGCCGTAAAAGATCCTTAACCCATCAGCAGGACCAGTATCTACTCCTTTGTGCATGGAAGAACAGGATGAGCCCTACAAAATGACCTCCAGCAGGCCACTGGTGTGAATGTCTCTGACCAATCAAACACGATTTCTTCTGCGCTCTAGGACCCAGGCGGGTGGCAAATCGGTGGAACCAGAACTGGAAAACAGCGATCACCAGTGCATCAAAGGTTGTGCGGCTCCAAACAAGGCTGGGTAAGCCCGACCAACACTACAAAGCGAAATAAAAACGAGAAGCGCACAAACCTTGCGCATTACCTCAGTAAACAAAAATTTATTAATAAGAAAGGTACTCACAAACAGCGAATAAAATCAGGCATGTAAGTCCTCACAGGGACTTCAGAGATAGAGAGCCAGCGCGAGTCCCATCGTGGGGGTAAGCACTCAGTTCATCTGACGCGTTTCGAATGCCAAACCTTCTGATGAAGGTTTGTGCGCCTCTCGTTTTTATTTCGCTCTGACCAATCAAAAGCAGACTTCATGAGGGTGGTCTGAGGGCCCAACATCCTCTAATGGGCCCTGTGCTCATTGCCCGGCACCATAGAGGTCGATTGGCATTTGCCATTGAACGCCAGAATTGGCAGGCCCACCACTGTGCTTTTCACAGATGAGAGCAGGTTCACCCTGAGCACATGTGAAAGACGAGAAAGGTCTGGAGAAGCCATGGAGAATGTTATGCTGCCTGTAACATCGTTCAACATGACCGTTTTGGTGGTGGGTCAGTGAAGATCTGGGGAGGCATATCCATGGAGGGATGCACAAACCTCTACAGTCTAGACAATGGCACCGATTCCATAAAGTATCAGGATGAAAACCTTGGACCCATTGTCAGACCCTACGTTGGTGCAGTTGGTCCTGGGTTCCTCCTGGTGCACGACAATGCCCAGCCTCATGTGGCAAGAGATGCTGGCAGTTCCTGGAGGATGAAGGAATTAATACCATTGAATGGCCCCCACGCTCGCCTGACCTAAATCCAATAAAACACCTCTGGGATATGTTTCGGTCCATCCAACGCTGCCAGGTTGCACCTCAGACTGTCCAGGAGCTCAGTGATGCCCTAGTCCAGTGTCAAGGTCCTACCTTTTCCCAGAGGTTATGTTACTCCATGTGCTGGCATCCATCTTGGATCTCTGCTGAGCACGGTGGGAATCTTTTATGCCTTCAGGTCTCTGAGGTCCATCCCCCAGAGGGGTGTGGCTGAGTACATATAAGCCTGTGATCCGCACATGCTCTTTGCACATGTGTCTTGTGTCTTTGTCTTGCTACAGCTCTGTGTATACGCTCGTGACTCTTCTGGTATTTGACTCGGCTTGTGACTAAGACCATTCTCTGTGTTTTCCTTTGATCTGACCTTCCGTTGCTGAACCCGGCCCGTGACCTGTTATTCTCTGTCTACTGTTCTGTACCGTTTTGTCCCGTTGTTGTCGACCCAGCTTGCCTGACTACGCTATTGTCATTCTCACCAGCTACACGCCATTGGCGGCGGCCATTACCGCAGCCGGGGTGTCTCGGGGGCCGCGACCTGGTTCCTGGCTGCGTCAAGTCCATCCCCACCATCAGGGGCCCTGGTGAAGGGCAACCTGGGACTTAGACTCCGCGCCCTGAGGGACTTCGGTCTGTTGGTGGTGGTTGTCGTCAGCCAGTGCGTTACCCTGCCACTAGGCCTACCTGTCCGTTCCACAGCCCTGCCCTGACATCCAGACCTGGGAGGAAATACCCCAGGACACCATCCGTCATCTCATTAGAAGCATGTCCCGATGTCAGACAGGCATACAAGCATGTGGGGGCCTTAGAAACTATTGAGTACCATTTTCAGTTGCTGCAATTAAATTTCAGCAAAATGGATTAGCGGCTGCATCATTTTTTCACTTTGATTTTCGGGGTGTCTTTGAATTCAGTCCTCTGTAGGTTGATAATTTTAATTTTCATCAAATGATGGGGCATCCTTATGTTCCTAACACATTACCCATCCATATCAATATAGATATCCATCATGATATTTTCCCCATTGAGATCTGATGTGTTTTCAAAGTGTTCCTTTAAATTTTTTTTTTGAGCGGTGTATTAAAACTCAAAGCCAGTCCAATATATATATCCTTGGCAGCGCACTGATCGGTCATGTGAGAGCTCGGACGAGTCGAGGCTCGTGAAGTCATCGATTGGCGCCGCAACTCCTTTCCAAGAATGCACATGGCCCCTATGTGTGCTGTTATCTGATGCTCGGCTGCTGGGGCGACTTGGCTATCATGCCAACAGAGGGCTCTGCATTCCCACTGTTGCACGCGTGCCATAGGTTCGCTACCACTGCTATAGACACACTCCTAAACCTTGTGAACAGCCTTCCCTGAACAGTTGAAGCTGTTATAGCTGCAAAGCACAGGCCAACTTAATATTGAACACTACGGACTAAGACTGGGATGCCATTAAAGGTCATGTGCGTGTAAAGGCAGGGGTCCCAATACTTTTGGCAATATAGTGTATCTTTTAACTCTTTTGCTGCCTGATGATTGTTTTGCATTTTTTGCATGCTTAAAAAATAATTTGAGGCCTGAAGATTACGTAAAACTCCTAAAATATTATATATTTTCCGAAAGCAGACACCCTAGAGAATAAAATAGCGGTAGTTACAATTTGTTACACACAATATTAGTGCAACAGTTAATAAAATTGAAAATTTCAGTAAAAAATACACTATAGTTAATTTTAGGGTGCATAAAACACAATATATCACCCAATTCTTTTGTAAAATATATAAGATGAGATTGCACTGAGTAAATAGATACCCAGCATGTCAAGTGTAAAACGTGCGCCCATGAAATTGGGAAAAATTCAGTAAATATATTTTCTAGTGGAGATGCTTAAAAAGCACCTACAGGTCATCAGTTTAGAGTTAATCATGAATTCTAGAATTATTGCTCTATGTGTAGCGCAATCAATGCTTTTGTGTGTAGGTTCCCCCATGTGTGTATTTATGCTCGACGGGGTAGGCTAAATAACTTATATTTGGAGGGAATTTTAGTTGCTTGGGTGTAACTTTGATTTTTTGTATACGTTGTATTTTTTTTAATAAACTTTTATTTTTATCACAGAGGACAAAAAATCCATTATGTGATGCATTTTTGGCGACATATTTTCTTTAATGAGACATGAGGGGTCTAAAAGACCCCTGATGTTTCACCTGTTCTCCATTGGAGCTAATGGAGGGCAGATCATGCTTCATTAGTTATTTCCTCAGACATAATAGCTGGAAAAAGTGACACCAAGACCCAGAAGTGACATTTTACAGTTTCGGGTTGATAGCAGGTGGGGAGATAAGCAAACCTTTTTCCTGTAACCTGTCATTTGTTAAAATCTTTATTTTCCCAATCTAATTAGGCCTCTTCTTCCTTTTCAAGCTCTTTCATCTTGTTCATCTCTTTGTTGATACGGCAGATTTGTAACTGTAATTTGAAATTGTAAACCAAAGCCTCAACACAAAAAAAAAAAAAGTTAAAAGTGAAGTTCAAGAACCAGATTTCATGCCTGAATCTGAAAGATGAAAAAAATTTACAATGGCTAGCTTCTTAAAAAAAAAAAAAAAAAAGAGTTATGTATGTACAGTTATGACCACGTGGTAAACATTTATGTAAAATTTCGCTTTAAAGCAATAATAAGAACTCAGGAAAACACAAATCAAGTTTGATTTTTTTAATTAATTTTCAGTGCCATTCCAAAATGCAAACTTGTTTTTTTTTTGTTTTTTTTTTAAGTGTTACATAGTGAGTCAGGGAATGGTGGAAGCTCCTTTCCCATCTCTTGGCAGGCTCACCAGGGAGGTTATAAAACAACGGTCCATATTACAGGGAAATCACACGCAGGCATAGTATTAAAGTGTTGACATAATAGGATGGCCTTGTATAAATGTGCAGACAGAAGGCCTGCTAACACTGCAGACAGATGAGGGAGACATGAGTGTATCACAAAACCTTCAGTGTCCTTAATAAGTGGTTTTACTGTGTTAACTTCAGCCACAGACCACTCTGCTGTTAATGAAAGACTATTAAAACAAATTAGTCTGTGCAAATAATTTAAAAGGATTTAGTAAACATCACTTTGTTAAGACTCCATCTTGCACCCCTCGGTTCCTAGAACAAAAAGCATGAAACTGGTGAGTGCAGATATGTGCGTAAATACAAGAATCTATTTGGGATCCAACATTGCGCCTTTAAAAACAGCTACACTGGGCTGTTCCTTGTTACATATTAGAGGGATACGCATTCCCAATTTAGGGAAGTCTCTAAAGGTCCATCTCTACAAGGCTACATGCACAAATTCGCTTTTACATGCATCTGTGTTGAAGAATTGAAGACATTGAGGACTGCACCCCTCCATACATAGTGGAAAGCGATCATTTAATTACTTTGGCAATCATAATCGCCCCAGTATGTACTGAATGGTATGCATCATTCAATATGATCCTATTTTACTGCTGTATTGAGCTTGCTAAGTGCAGTGCGCA